TCATAATTCATTTGAAGAACTTTCATGTGTGATTTTTGGGTTGTGGACAAAGGACTGTGTCCCTTTTCTGCTCAACTAGCTCAATGTCTCCTTCATGTGGCAGCGATATAACCAGAGGGTATAATTCACTCCACTGGCTGGCTTTGAAATTCTTTGATTCCCCTTGAAAAGTTGAAATTTTGGGAGATGGGGGGACGGAACCGGTGACCTTTCAGTGCATGGGACAGTGCTCAACCAACTGAGCCACACGGGACAGAGCTCATATGGTGTTTTTTATATCATACAATTTCAAATTTACATGAATAAAACCTGCATAAAATGCACCATTTTCAGGAAGATAGTTTGACACTATGCAAATTTAATATGTGCATAATACTGGGGATTGAGCCTGAAACCAGGGCATGTGCCCTGGGGAGGGAGGGGGAGGGGGAACGGAACCGGTGACCTTTCAGTGCATGGGGCAGTGCTCAACCAACTGAATTTATTCCAGGGAAACTGTGATAAATTTGATTTATAAACAGGGTGATCTGACATATAAATTCAGGGTGAGGTGATGTATTCCATCACCCTGAATTATTGGCCGTGATGGGTTGGATGGAAGAAAAGGAGGCTTTTGTACACGAACATGTGACTGTAAACCTGTAAGTACATTGACAAGTCCACGAGGCTGCCACATGCAAAAAGGAGACCAGCCAGCAGGGCTTACCCCTCCTGCCACCAAACTCTGGAAAACCACATTTGTGTCCCTGAGTCTCCCTGGGGTGTGCGGGGCCATTGCATGGATGTCACAAGGTCCCCCGACGCCCTTTACAAAGTGAAAGAATGTCCCCCGACGCCCTTCACTGCTGAGGAGAGAGAGCATCCATGAGCAAATGTTTTCTCTGATGCAACAGTTGGGAGCAAACAGGGGCTACAGGCCAAGAAAGACTGACACAGCCCAGGGCTTTTGTTAGCTCTCATTGCCGCTGAACAGATCAGGTTCTGATTGATCATTAACTTGTTGAAGGAGAATAAATGTGTGTATGGCAAGCTACAAGTGGCTCACAGTTTTTGTAATTGCCTGCCGGCCAGACCAAAAATTTCTAGATAATAATTGGTGTTTGGTTTAAACAGATCAGGCGCATTCACAATAGTTCACCATCATGTTGATACATCACCTTCCATTCTACTGTTTCCATTTCATTGTTGTCATAGAAACAAGGTGTTGATCCATCAGGACTGTTTCAGTAATTAGTGATATATCCATAGAATGTAATAAGGAATACGCAGTCAAGTGTTTAAATCAAATGTTTTATTTATTTATTTTTAAAATTTTATTTATTTATTTTTGTTAATCCTCACCTGAGGATATTTATTCCAGTGATTTTTAGAGAGAGAGTGGAAGGGAGGGGGATAGATAGAAAGAGAGAAACATTAATGTGAGAGACACATCGATTGGTTGCCTCCCAAGTGTGCCCTGACAAGGGCCGAGGATGGAGCCTGCAAACTAGGTACGTGCCCTTGATCGGAATCGAACCCCGGATGCTTCAGTCTGCTCT